TAGAATTATTTAAAAAGGAGTCTTTTATCATGAGAAGCCTTTAGATTAAGTGGTATAAGTTTCCAGAAGCTAAAAATACCCTTCTTATGTTTTCTTTTTTTTCTAAAGGAACAAGATAAAAAAGTGGAAAACTCAAATAAAAAAGAAATACAGGAAAAGGAAGCAATCATTGAAGAATTAAATGCAAAAATAATAGAAGAAGAAGAAAAAACTCTTGAGCTAAAGGATAAAGTAACAGCTGCTGATAAATTACTAGGAGAATTACAAGAGCAAGTTATACAAAAGAACCAAGAGATAAAAAATATGAAATTAGAGCTGTCCAATTCTAAGCAAAAAGAAAGACAGTGTTCTGAGGAAATAAAACAGTTAATGGGGACAGTTGAAGAACTTCAGAAGAGAAATCATAAAGATAGCCAATTTGAAACTGATGTAGTTCAAAGAATGGAACAGGAAACACAAAGAAAGTTAGAACAACTCCGGGCAGAGTTGGATGAGATGTATGGGCAGCAGATAGTGCAGATGAAACAAGAATTAATAAAACAACACATGTCACAGATAGAGGAACTGAAAACACAACATAAGGGAGAAATGGAGAATGCTTTAAGATCATATCCAAATATTACAGTTAATGAAGATCAAATAAAGTTAATGAATGTGGCAATAAATGAACTGAATATAAAATTGCAAGACACTAACTCTCAAAAGGAAAAACTCAAGGAAGAACTTGGAGTAATTTTGAGAGAAAAGTCTGATTTACAGAGACAGCTTGAAGACCTTTTTGAAGAATTGAGTTTTTTAAGGGACCAAATTCAGAGAGCTAGACAGACCATAGCTGAACAAGAAAGTAAACTGAATGAAGCACATAAGTCCCTTAGTACAGTGGAAGATTTGAAAGCTGAGATTGTTTCTGCATCTGAAGCCAGGAAGGAACTAGAATTAAAACATGAAGCAGAAGTTACAAATTATAAGATAAAACTTGAAATGTTAGAAAAAGAAAAGAATGCTGTGTTAGACAGAATGGCTGAATCACAAGAAGCTGAATTAGAGAGGCTGAGAACACAGCTTCTATTTAGTCATGAAGAAGAACTTTCCAAACTGAAGGAAGATTTAGAAATTGAACATCGAATAAATATTGAAAAACTTAAAGATAATTTAGGCATTCACTATAAACAACAGATAGATGGCTTACAGAATGAAATGAGTCAAAAGCTAGAAACCATGCAGTTTGAAAAAGACAATTTGATTACTAATCAGAATCAATTAATTTTGGAAATTTCAAAGCTAAAAGATTTACAGCAGTCCCTTGTGAATTCAAAGTCAGAAGAAATGACTCTTCAAATCAATGAACTTCAAAAAGAAATTGAAATACTCAGACAGGAAGAAAAGGAAAAGGGTACACTTGAGCAAGAAGTTCAAGAATTACAACTTAGAACAGAATTATTAGAGAAACAAATGAAGGAAAAAGAGGATGATGTGCAAGAAAAATTTGCACAACTTGAAGCAGAAAATAGCATTCTTAAAGATGAAAAGAAAGCCCTTGAAGACATGTTGAAAATATATACTCCTGTTAACCAAGAAGAAAGATTGATTTTCATAGACTCCATTGAGTCCAAATCCAAAGACTGTAGCTGGCAAAAAGAAATAGAAATACTTACAGAGGAAAATGAGGACCTCAAACAACAGTGTATTCAGCTAAATGAAGAGATTGAAAAGCAAAAGAACACTTTTTCATTTGCTGAAAAAAACTTTGAAGTTAACTATCAGGAGTTACAGGAGGAATATGCTTGCCTTCTCAAAGTAAAAGATGATTTAGAAGACTGTAAAAATAAGCAAGAATTAGAGTATAAAAGTAAGCTTGAAGCACTTAATGAAGAGCTTAATTTGCAAAGGATAAATCCAACTACAGTGAAAATGAGACGTTCTGTCGTTGATGATGACAAGGCTTTTATAGCAGAACCATGGGAAACTGGTGAGGTTGTTGAGAAAGATACAACAGAACTCATGGAAAAACTTGAGGTAACCAAGAGAGAGAAATTAGAGCTCTCAAAGAGACTGTCTGATCTTTCTGAACAATTGAAACAAAAACATGGTGAGATTAGTTGTCTAAGTAAAGAAGTTAAATCTTTAAAGCAAGAGAAAGAACAAGTTTTATTGAAATGTAGAGAGCTAGAAATCATAATCAACCATAATAGGGCAGAAAATGTAAATGTATGTGATGTTCAGTTAAGCTCTTTAACAGATGGAGTAGTGACTCTGACAAGCAGGGATTCTGGAAGATCAGTTTCTAAAATAAATAAAGGTTTTGGTGAAGAATCAAAAATAATGGCAGAAGATAAAATTGCTTTTGAAAATACGACTGTTAGAAAAGAAAGCAAGCAAGAACAGTCATTTTTGGATCACTTGCCATCAGTAAGAAATGAATCATCATTTTGGGCAACTGAACCAAGTGAAAATGATAAACTTCAAAGGGAACTCAGTGTACTTAAATCAGAACAGGTATGTTTACTTCTTTATATATGGTAAAGCACAATGAAATGTACATTTCATACTAAGAGTCTTCACTTTAATAGAACATAAATTCACATCCTTATATGCAAATTCAAGTGAACCCTTTAATTT